GTGGGTGACCATGGACGGCGGTAGTCACTTACCATCAGGTGAGCCGCAAGCTCGTTTGCCCCTGTGTTGTAAAAAAATCTTTTTTTTTTTTTATTTTTTTTTTAAGGAATTTCGTAGCTAGCTTTTGACCACAACAGAATATAATTATATTGAGATATTTTTGCTCTTTTGAGGGCAAAGCAATAGACTTAGTTGTGGCTATTTTGTGTTACTGTGGCACAAGCATAAAGGGAAAAATTGTTACTTTTTTAATGCATTTTGTTAGATCATTTTTTTGTTTATGTATTCTTTTATCTTTTTTTACTGAGCATGTCTATCCATGTTTGTTGTTGTGTGTTGCAAGTAATGCATATAAATTATCTACCTTTTTTTTACCCACAACTTCATTCACATGACTGGTATATATTTTCTAACTGGAATAATAAGTAGCCTATATCCTATCCTAACCCATCTCATATAGTATACGTACACCAAATTTCATAGTGATTAGTTCAACTATTAAGGTGTTATAACAAACAAACTCACTTTCACATTTATAATATCAGTAACCAATGCACTGAGCATTAAGATAAGAATTGTTTACATGTTATGAAGTTTATGTTACAAAATTATTGTAATTGATAAGGTATTGAGTTATTGAGGACTTTAGCGTACACTTTATAAGATAACAGAAGATGGTAAACAATATGTATGTTGGTGTTTATAACTCTTGGTAGAACTTAAACTGTATTTAAGTCAAAATCATTGGCATGTTAAGCCTCTTCAGATTATATATATATGTAATATTTTTATGGACCCCCCCCCCTCGAATTTTGTCATTATAAAAGAACACATGATTTTAATAAATGTTATTTATTTCTAAGTTATAAAGAATAAATTGTAAATAAATTTAAACCATGTTTTACTACACCACTAATATTTAAACTTGAGGTTGCATGCTCTGCCTCAGTTGGTTGATTCTAGGCACAACTTTATTTAAGCGTTAATTTTTGTTCCAAAATTTATAATTTACTATATATAACATAAATAACATTATGCCCCCTTTGACATATTATTACACCCCCCTAGAGGATACATCCTCTGGTTGGAGATTTCTGCTGTATAGAGAGTGTTTCATCTATGAAACGGAATACTTTTCCTTAAAAAACATAGGGTATCCAGAAGTCAAGTATTGAATGCTCTAAATATAAGAAACTAGTTGTGAGCACATATTTATTATTTTTATAAAAAGAAAAAGCACATGTGTCAGTTGATAAGAACACATAGTACAAGCTCTGCTTAGTATAAAACTAAATAACACCATATCATATATCCCATGGTATTTATTATTTCATTATTATAACTCAAACTATTAAATAGTGCATACCAAATAAAACAATGATGAAAAAAAAAAACAAATAAAGCTTGTAACTAAAATATTGTCATAGTCGTAGAATACTGACGGATCTGACAAATATTACATATAAAAGATCCATCAGTATTCTATGACTATAAAACAGGGGGGAAGGGATCGTTAGTAATGCGGGCTACCAGTCCCTTTCACTGATTCATTCATCACAATGGGCTGACTGACCTGCCTTTTTTCATTATTCACCTATCACCCCTCACTGGTGCCCCGCCAGCGTATACCGTTAGCGCAAACGGGATTACCATTCCATTAATCATGCATTAAAAAAAATGGAAAACAATTTCAATCATATACATATAAGACAATTGTAACTGAAATATGTAATGATAAACAGAACTACTAAGCTTATCACCTGTCTACTTTCTAACCTGGTTATTTTATTGATAGTGAAACTTTGTTGACACCACAATTCATTGTATTACTACATACATAAAGATAATATAACATATATCTTCTTTTATCTAGTAAACACAGTTATGTAAAAATTTATCTTAATATTAACTCTTGAAACCTGCATGGGGTGTTGGCTGTTGTAATAATTACATAAATAATGAAAAATAGAGTGGATTTCATTTATTACGACCTTGGTTGTAGCGACCATTTGCCTATAGCGACGTTAAATCTAAGTCCTATGAATTTAAAGCATACTTTAGTACAAAATTCATGTGCATGTGGCAGATGTAACGACTGTTTTTTAGGAATCATTTGTAACAAATTCCTAGAAATCCCATGCAGATATTGCGACCGAAGTTGGCCGCTAAAGAGACACCAAGATTTCTTACTTTCACAAACATTTCTAACCTTTTGTTTACATCCACACAAATGGTCAGCAAGTATGGAGACCTTGACCTATTGTTTATAGATATCAGCTAGTAGGTGGGAAAGCATATACGTTTTGGAGTTGAATTAATGGTTCAGTTACAAAGTGATATTCTGAGTAGCAACTGAGTTTAGTAAACTCTTGGATAAGTATGACTGTCTCGACACACATTCACTTTTAAAGAAAAGAAATCATTTCTTAATTGAAAGATGGTGAAAACAATGCTGATTTGTGCGAAGAAAAAACTATACATGTGTATGTGTCTGTATCTCTTTACTTTTATCTGTAACGACTTACGGATACAACAATGTAAATAGAGTGGTCCTTTTATTGTCGTTATACCCAAAATCCACTGTAATAAGAAAATTAAACTATGTGAATGTAATAGTGGAAGTGTTTATTTGAAGGCAACAATGCCTGAAACTACCAGTTAGATTTGAAAGATTCTTTTTGCATTTAATAACTAAATTCTTAAGAAAAGTTATAGAGTGGCTACTAAACATTATGGTATAACCATGAAGCTGTAGGATACAACTAGTAAAAAATAAAATATGTATTTTACATATAAAAAGTTAAAAAAAAATATGTAGATTAAAATAATAAGTGAATAATACTTTTAAATTTAAATCAATCCATACCAATAAATGTGTTTGTTTTTTTAGTTTATTTATTTATTACCTCTTAGTTGCTTAATCAATTCCTATGAAATTTTAAATACATATATTATAGGAAATAGAGGATATAGCAGCTATTGTTATCCCAGTATAAACATATTACAGTTACAAAGACAAAGTCGCAAGTAAAAGCTAGTTAAAATCTTAAAGCATATTTTCAAGACGGCCATTATGGATATTGGGGCACCAAGGAGTAGTTTACTTTTTATTATTCTCAATTTGTGGTTACACCAAAGATTATAATGTCCATGTATTTTAGTTTAATGACAATCATTACTGAAAATAAAAATAAATGGTGAAAGTCAAGATTTGTGTGAATTTCTACAAGTGACATAGATAAGTATCCCAGACTACTGTATTTGTGTTTAAAATAAATGTACCTTACCCAATTTATTTTATTATTTTTTAAAAGAAACCCGTAATGGTTTTGTATAAGCAAACTTATTTTTTATTGCCAAATTTATTATAAACTATTTGAAACATTTTTTAATACCTGTACCCTTGGTGCGATTTTTTTTTAAACCAAATTCATAAAAAGAGATAGGTTGTATTTCAGCTAATAATTAACTGGGGAGAATATTATTTTATTATCAATTATATAAAGAATATGATATATAAAAAAAGATGATGAATTAAAAGAGTGCAACAGGTGTTCACCATATGTATGACACCTGATGGTGAAAAGATTTTTATATATCTGATGAAAACATGGATAATGATGATTTTCAAATATCAATCCAATTTGGATAAAGTTTATATAAACAAAGCTATAAGCCCCATAGAATGACTATCATTCTGATCTATAAATAGAGATAGGAAAAACAAAACAAAATCCCATACATGTAAAATATTAATTATATACTTTTTATTTTTTATATTTATAATAAGTTTACTACTGTAATCTTTTGGAGAAAACAATAAAGAGTATCTATTTTAATATTAATGTCTGAAAATACTCAATGTATTATTAAATTTTAGATTATGTGACTAGTTTTCTATCAAAATCATAATAAAAGTACATTTGAGAATGTTTACCCTACTACACTTGTCTAAAAATAATAAGTATGCCAGATACTGTAGGTTTCCACTGCATTTAAAATAGTTTTTATTGCTGTATTTTCTTTTGTTGTTTTTATTAAGTACTATAATATATTTATAGCAATCTTATCTTTAAGTAGGAATTTCAAAAATAGAATAGGTAGCCAGTAACAATCACCATGATTAAACTATTATTCAATCATATCAATGATACTCACTGTTTGTTTCCCACCTTAATTGTATAAAATAAAACCAATTATTATTATTATATCTACCTGTATTGCCATAGTAATAAATTAAAATTGACAAGACTGTTCAAATTTTATAGAATTTTTTTTAATTAACTGTTTTAATAAATTTATATATTAACTAATTGTTTGTCTTTGGTATGCATGAATTTCAAAAATAGAATAAATAATGAAATAGACCACTTCTATATAACATATCAAGATTAAATACATATCAGTTTTTAAGTTAAACCTTCAGGAATGTAACTGTGGAAACTAAATTCAATTTGTAGCAGTAATTTTTGGATGATGTCAACAGACAGATAAACAGACAATATTTATAAAATGATTGTTTTGTCTTATATATAAACATCAAACAGTTACAAATTTTATTATATTAGTAAGATTGGCCAATGAATTGATCATAAGTAATAACATACCTACTATCTAACTTGTTTACATATCATATGATTGATAAACTGTACAGAATAATAATTTGCACACACTAAAACATCTAATAATGACATAAATAATATTAAAAATAACTAAATATATTTTTGTGATATTAAAAAAAAAAACAACAATAAACAAATACCCTCAATATAGTAAAATATAAATTGATGTTACAGAACGAGGTGTCGGTACTTCTGAAACACAAACGAGTGGGTGACTTAATAGTTAACATAAATGTTCACTGTACATGACAATCGAACCAATATGCAGGGTTAGTTCATTCACGCCTTCGTAATAAAATTGACAGTCCATAAACCTTGAAAACAACGCGAGAGCGCGTTCCGATATACACCATAATATCATACAAATCTTTCTCTGACCTTCAGCGCTCCGGTTCAGCGATGATGGAACCTCAGCTGAGGAGAGGTCCTTCTGTTCGGCTTTCGGCGGATCACAGTCCGAATCATCGAAAACCAGCGTCCGAACCGACTGCGAACAGCGACGGTTCATAGCCACAATCACTGAACACACAATTGCACTGAGATATTCGCCATTTATCACGTTTCTATTTAAGAAGCGATCACAAAATGTTTACACCACAACAAATTAAATAAGTATATGTTTATAACTGATTAAAATTTATATTTTTATTGTTGTAGGTAAAGGCAATATTTTGCCATTGCAAGTAACGCGATACACGACTTGTGCACAAATTGTCAATCGAAAATGATCATATCCCACTCGCACACATCACAACACAAGTAGATAATCAGTCAAAAAGAGAAACAGAACAAACAAAGTCCCCACAGATGAGTAAGTAAAATATTGACTCCATACACGATCTTTCCTTAACCTATAATATAAGGGTTGTAAAACAAAGAAGAAATTACAGTTTTTATTCGATAAACAAAGATGTAACATATAAGTCAAAAACAACTACATCTCTTCTAGATAAGACAACATTAAACAGCAACAGATTATATCAATCAATCACAGACCAAATGAATTTTTTGTTCAGAGTGAGTATAATTTCTACAAGTTTATTAACCACTAAAACATTTGAACGACTATAGTAGTAAATTATATTTCTCGTTTGTAGGATACATATTCAAACACGCAACAAAATATATTTAATCGTATATGACTCAATCTATCGGTAAATGTCCACACCACTTATGCCTGGCAAGTTTATTTTGTCTTTAGGACAGAGGTAGACAGGGGGTAGTTACTTATTAGATAGAACCAATAACTCGCGAATAATTGCTAATTATTTAAAAATTGTATTTCCTTAGCAAAATTATTAACAGCTACTTAATCGTAAATAAAGTTTAATGCACTTTTCGAATAGAAAAGAAATAGTTCATGATGATAATTTTAGTTTCGCTCTACGGAGGCACTATTAACTATTGCATGTTAATTGCTTCTATCTAATGAATAATGAACTTGACAAAAACTAACAGTTATTATCGTGCATTTTTAGGGACTACAACTGTGTGCAGTCGTGTATTAATTTTTATATATTTTTAATAAATATGTATACATAAATATACATACAGTGACAAATAAATTAATTAACAAATAAAACGTATTTTTATAATACAAGTCATAGTGATATTTCTTAATTCAGTGTACAACAACAGTTGTAACTCATTTCTATCGTAGCATATACATATGTACGCTAGTAACTGTGCGAAAGGAACAGAAACAAATTAGCGATGGGCCAACTCGTATAGTTTTGAATTCGAGTAAACCGAATTGAAATGGTGGCTGATTCGAATCGCAGCTCGAATCAGCTCGCATTCACTTCGTATAGTCAATACTGCAGTTGAATATGAACTCAGTAGGTCGGTTACTTAACTCGCTTTAGATTTAAATCGTCGATAGCGCGAACTCGCGGGTTTCAATCAATTCGAATAAAATATACTAGTGTAACGTAGTAAACACTCAGAATTCATATTATCAATCTATTTTAGTTATAGAACAGTTTTGTTCTTTACTTTCGAGCTATTAATTTGAAAGAAAAATACAAAATACTAATATTTAAAATATAGGTTTTTATTTTTAACCGACTTCCAAAAAAGGAGCTGGTTCTCAATTCGACTAATATTGTATGTTTTTTTATTTGTTTGTTACGCGATTACTCCGTCAATTGTATTATTTTTTTGTCGGAAGGGGTATTATCTTGAGGTGGTCCCATTGTCACCATGTATATATATATATATATATATATATATATATATATATATATATATATAACGGATAGGAGAGAGAGAGAGAGAGAGAGAGAGAGAGAGAGAGAGCTGATGATGAAGTACAACTCCTTAACGGTTAGGTTTATATAGGAATTAAGGGATAATTCTATCGCAAAAAAGATTATGAAAATTCTTTTTTTGTCACCAAGTCAGAATCTGGATCCCATGAAAATTGAAGGAAATCCTAAAAATTTGTAATGTAAATATTAAAATATACTAAAAATGGAAAAATAAATAAATTTGAAATAAAATCAACAGACTTCAAAAAAAAAAAAAAAACGTAAAAAATACAAAAGTAAAAAATAACAAAATACAAATTTAATCCCAATCAAATAAATTTCATTTCATTTTATAAAAAATTTAAATAGTTATGTAATCACCTAAAAAAATACATAAAAGTTTAATACTTATATTTTTACTATTTATTTTAACATTAATTAATTAACTAAATATTAAAAAACGGAACAGTAACATTTCTAAAAAAAAAGCTCGTCGTCAGCCAATCATGAATCAATCGCCTTCTCTTCCTTTAACTTGCGCCTCATGTGATGTTACTATCTCATTCTGCTTCGCAGCTTGTTCGGTTGGTGTAGTTATGTCGAGTATTATACACCACACGCTATATTGGTATGCATAATAGGTACATACACATATAAGTAAATAATTATAATATATTAATAATTATATAATTCAAAATACTTGTACAACGCAAACAGTAAAGCATAGATAATTTACGAAAGTTCATTGTATGCGACAAATCTATGGATTGGTAACAGTAACTTGCTTTTCCAGTCATATAAAAATAATAAATATATTATTAGATTGACTTTGACTCCATAAATCTCACTCAACACTATTCTGTTAATTTATAATAAAAAGTGCCAAAATCTCAACTATCACCGCACCATGATATAGCGCGCGGAGTGTAACTGTAAAACACGCTGACAGAAATATCACGCACACGAGAGTCTTGCTCGTTGTATAATGTTTCTGTTGCGTCGCACGCACACAGCCACACAGCATTCACAGCAACTGAATCGAGTTGACGTTATGACGAACACAGTCGGCCGAGTTGCGTGCTACAGTGATCCGAGCGTAGATCGCATTCATATCACGGTTGTAACGTAGGTAGCGCCGTATTGGCTTTATACGAGTTGATTCGAATTGATAGAAAAGCTAGTTCGAATTGAGCCGGCGGCAATGCAGCTCGAGTAACTCGAGTTTTTTGATTCGAATCGCCCATCGCTAAAACAAATACGTCGTCCCACAGAACAAGTAATCACTACGTTATAAGAGTTTGCATTAATCTTAGATAATAATACAAAACATACCTATATTTATATAATATACATTATCTGATAATTATTTTAGTAAAAAATGTAAAACATAGACGATATAATAAGAAATCGCATATAATAAACTGATTAATCATACGTAATTTTAAGTAATATTCATGGGCGTATTTAAGGGGGGGGGGAGGGTACGAGTGGGCCGTGCATACCCTGGATGTTGATTATCTCTAGATGTTGTAAAAGCTTGCAATGATTCTAAAAGTACATAATGCGCCTTTTTTTTTGTGTCATTTACCTCGATATTAAGGGTTTTTTTTACAACTCAGAGGGCAAACAAGCATGCGGTTCACCTGATGGTAAGTGACTACCGCCGCCCATGATCACCCATAACACCAAAGGCATTGCAGGTGCGCTTTAAAAAGATATATTGCCGGCCTTTTAAAAAGACATATTATCTTTTCTTGAAGGTTATGATATTCGGAAATAGGCTGCTGGAAGTTGATTGTTGATGATGAGTGGTTGTGCGTGAAAGAAAATACCCTGAAAAACGCGCAGTGGAAGACCGCCACTCGTCCAGATAGTTGAAATAAAACTTTAGTTTGTGGCGGGTTGTACGGTGGTGAAAATCAGCAGCAGGTATCAATCCAAACAATTCCTCAGAGCACTCCTCATAATAAATTCGGTTGAAGATGCACACAGATGCAACATCTCTACGTAGTTTCAGTAGGTCAAGTCGGACAATAAGGCGCTGATCATCAATAATTCGAGTCGTCCAAGTTTGAATGCTGTATAACGGAAGGAGTTGTTACTGTGGCGCTCCTGTCCATAGGTGAGAACAATATTTTATATATAGCCTGACTTGAGTTTTATACAATTTCAATCGGTGTTCCGACGTAAAATACCGTCTCACTCTATTGAGCATTTCGAACTTTTTGGAAGCCATCTTAGCCTTTTTCTTTAGATGACCGCAAAATTGGACGTCGCTAGATATATCAATGCCAAGGACCCCTAGACTCGACTTATGATCAAAGGAAGAACCCAGAAAGCGAAGAGATACGACAAACGGCGTCTCATTTGCTGTGAAAGTGTAGATTTGTGTCTTCTTAGGGCTGAATCAAACAAGATTGTGTTCGCCCCAAGTCGAAACTTGATCGAGTGAAGTTTTGGTAGGGTGAAGGTATTTTGCAAAAACAAAACGGAGTAACGACAATAATAATAATAAAAAAAAATCTATTTCAAGCAAATTTGAAAAAGGATTAGATCTTAAATATTTATAGGTTATGTAGAATAGAACATGTATATTTGACAATATACTTATAGATATTTAAGAGAAATCAACTAAAGTGAGTAAAATGACCTCTTGCTAATATTAAAAAATATTAAAAGCTATGATTTTTTTTAAATATATTTTAATTGGAAAAAAAACACTGATTTCCTGCTGTGTGATTAAAATATTTTAGATAAAAAACAGGTTAAACAAAATTTCAATTTAAAATTCTTAAATTTATAAAATAATTAAAAATATATTATTTAAATTATCTAAATTCAATGGCCTTAAATGGAAAAAAGATATAAATTAATATTAAAAATTCCTTTTGATAATAAAAATTTTGTTATATGGTAATTGCAAAGAGTAAAAGAGATAAAAACATTATTTCTATTTCCTAATTCATTTTAATTATTTTTAATATTCTCTGTTTAGCGCCATCTATTGAGGTAATGAGTACATTAAAATGAAATTTGGAATTAAATGTTAGCAACTCCGTAGAATGTTGCCATTATTTTGTTGAAGGAAAAGACATATTTTACAATATTTTATTATATTTTAACATTAATTTGAACGTTTATTATATCTTTGTAAATTAAATAATAAAATGCATTAATGTCATTGTTCTTAAATTAAGAATTTTTAACTTTTATCAAGATTTTACTATGCCATCTATTGGCAACTTATGTCAAAATAAAGTTATTCCGTCAAAAGAACGGAAAAACACGAGTGTGCGTCGCCTCAGTAGTTATCAGCTGAATTATTCGGCTAAAATGCCCTGGCACGGGCATACGTAGTCGTCGGTCCGCCATTACGACGCAGCCGAGACACGTTCGTCGTATTTAGTTAGATATTTTCATTTATAAATGAGTAATAACGCTCATGATCTAAGTAATCGACTACTGAATGCGTTGGATAACAATTACAATGTAAGTTGACGAGTTTTGAAGATCGTAAATCTCATAAATTGAGTTGAGATACGAAAACTATCCCCACGAGTCTGTGACACCCGATTCGATGTTGCGATTTAGCCACTTGGGAGGTTGTTCCTCTATTTTCCTAATGTTCCATACTGTTTATGTTAAGTGTTAAAGCTTGTTAGCTCAAAGGTTTTGTGTGTGATGTGAAATTACGAAGTTAAAATGTAGTGTGTGCGGATACGTGAGTGAGCGAGCGCAGTGGGGCCACTGAGGCACTGACGTCGCCAACGCGCCGCCTCTCGTCCCTCCGTCCCCAGTGCCAAATATTTTGCAATGTGAAAGTATGGAATCGTGCCACGCGTGACCTTCCCTGTCGATTTTCACGAAATGCATTGCAAACAGGGAGTAGTTGAAAATGTGTTTTCCATGCCTTTTGACCTCACGTGAGTATATACCTTATAACTTGCAGCGCAGAAGCTCCTCTCGTTGCTGGTGCAGTTCGGTCGCTATTGTTTTTGTCACATTGATGGTAATTTATTGTCTTCATAGCCATTTTTGATTGTGCAATCCAGAGGCAATTCAATTTTTTCAACTGTTTGTCATGCTCTTTCAGAAAGTAAGCTGTTACTATGGCTGAACCAACTGCACTGCCATTCTCTTCTGCAATATGATCAAAGTTATTTTTTAAAGACTATTTGTATTATCTTTGCTTATCATTGTGTTTCATTAATAACAATTATTAATATCATTGATATGTTTATAAGTGCTATTCTTTTAGTTGGGCATATAAAATACTGGTTTAAACTAAAAATTAGGTGTGCAAGTTTAAAGTAGGTTTATTTAATTGTTGCACCAACACCATTATGTTTAAACCAGCATCAACTGTTCTTTTATTGGCATAACTTCAGTGAAGAACATTGTATAATTACAGAATAAATTCTTAAAATTAATCTTACGTTAGGGATTTTCTTATCTATTTTATACCAAACAAGTCACATAGGTAAACAAATAGGTAATCCCTAATCAAGATATTAATTTTGTTCAAGTTTTATAGAAAACCATACCGCATAGCTAAATCTCAATACCATATCTATATTTGGAATTGATTAAACTCATTTTTGTGTCATTTTGAATAAATTTTTTTGCTATTTCTTAAAGAACCTTAATAGGTTTTTTAACTTGAGTTGTTACTGTAGTTTAACTTTAGGTTGGTATTTCTAAAAATTAAAAGTTATAACAAACTAAAATATCTAAATTTGTTGCAATTAATAAGAAATACTTTGTACACATTATAATTGATATATGAATGAAGATATTGTTGCATAACAACAGTACTATTACACAACTAATTTATCAAAATAATTACTCGGGAAACCTTTCATTTTTCAGGTTAAACATTGACCTAAAATTTTAGCAGTAGACAGTGTTAATACATACATACATACATACATATCTGTTACCCCTGTATCCCATTAGGGTAGGCAGGAAGATATGGAACGCCAAATGCTTCGATTCAAACAAAGTGTTAATAAGTTACATATTTAATACTTTCATAACTATATATTGAACATCTATATTATTAACATCTACTGATAACTCTTTTTCTATAAGTAGACTAGGTATATAGTTAATTTGGGAATATTAGGTGTTTTCCTTATTAATAATTCAACATAAACAATATTTCATAATTTTGATAATCCCTATGAGGCTGGCATAGTCACTCCAGTGTACTAAAGTCTCAACAAAAATTTGATTAAAAAAAATTTGATCTGCATATCATAGGGTTGATATATTATAAAAAAAAAATCCTTAAAGGTCTTTGAAAAAAGGACTACTTTTCCTATTGGTACATTTAATTGATTATAATTAGAATAAATCATTATAAATTTTCATACATTATTTAATTTTTTTTTGATCTAGCTTTACACAGCTCTCACGCTCAAAGATATATATATATATATATATATATATATATATATATATATATAGCCTATGTTACTTGCTGGTAATGTAGATTTATATAAGTGAAAGAATTTTTAAAATCTGTTGAGTAGTTTTAAAGTTTGTCCATTACAAACACAAAATAAAATTTTTCTCTATATAATTACTAGTATAGATAACTTGTAATAAAGTTTAAACTTTTAGTAAATCATAAGAGGCATTTTCAAATATTAACTCTACAATTTTACTGTACATCTGACCACAAAATGTCTAAGGAATTTGTCTTCCTGTTATTCTTAAACAAGCATATTGGTCTCGTAGAAAGCACCTCTGTTTATGATGCTCCTCTGTGACAAGTTCCAGGTCATCCCTGATGAAAGAAATTGATTAGTTTTGTATGTCTTGCTTTAAAGATATCTCTATAAGGACATATACAAACCATATGATGTATTCATATGGTATTTTATTTTATGCCATAATTTTATTTAAAATTAATTATATTAAATTTATAAACAACATAACTGAAGTAATTTTTATTTAAAACAAAATTAATTTGTTTTTATTATTTTTTTTTAAATTAATTATAATAAAATTAATTATATTAAATTAAAATTAATTTAATCTAAATTTTATATAAATATGAAGAAGAAAGACTGACTTTTTCATTGTAATGGATAAACTCTAAAAATAATTAACTGATTTAAAAAATTCTCTCATCTATGCTAGAGAAAGCTTCAATTTCAAGCATTTAATAAAATAAATGAAACTATGCAATGGATTCTGAAGTTTAAAAATTTAAAATATATGATACTAATAATAATATGGTTATATTATAAAACGTGGCTTTAATTAAAGGCAACCAAACCAATACATTAATGTCACAATTATATTTATTATTAAAATTGACTATTTGATGAACTCTTAAACTACAATATATATATTTCTATATCTATTTTAATAAATTATAGAGAGGTCAACCAACAAAATAACTATACATTTGTATTAAAAAATGCAATTAAAATATATAGATCTCTAATTTTCGCACTCAGCTCAATAATACGTCGACGCCGAGATTGGCATATATTATCTCTTCTTTATATAAAACACCTCACTATCTTAAAGAGCTTTAATTAAAGGTCAACCAAATAGTCTCAATACATTAATGTCACAATTATATTTATTATTAAAATCCTTGGCTTCGTAATATGTCTACATTTTCTTTCATGTAGTTACTCTTTTCCACTTTTGTAATTTTTGGACTAGATTTGTCAATTTCCTTGTGTGTGCAGACCAATTTATATCTATATGTTATAATAAATGTGTATATATATATATGAGTGTATGTGTAATGTATGTATATATATTGTTAATATATTTAATAAAATAACTATATTTTTGTGCATTACATGTTTTTGATTTTATGTTGTTGATTCACTCTTGATGCCCTTTTCTATCTGTTCTCCCTTAACTAAAGGTTGTCTGTAAAAATGCAATAAGACAGTGTATATTTCAATCTTATTTATGTTACTGTATTTCATTTGAATTATTCACTGTATGTATATTTTTATTTATGTTAAAGAGTTAAATAAATAAATAAATAGAAACAAAACTACTCGATGGATTTTAACGAAACTTGGTACAATTATTCTTCATACTCCTGGGCAGGTTATAGTGTACTTTTCGTCACGCTACGATCAATAGGAGCAGAACAGTGAAGGGAAATGTGGGGAAAATTGGAGAAGTTATTCTATTTTTAAGCTTCCATCGCGTGTGCAGTCTTAATGGTTACTTTTTAAAATGTAAAAATGTCCACAAGTGCGAAACCAGGGCGGGCCGCTAGTATAGAATAATATAAAAAACAAACTGTTGATTTTTTTTTTGTTTATTTATTGTTCTATTACTTAGAATTAAACTCCAAAGTTTTATGAAATGAAAAAGAACAAATTTTTGTAATTAACTGTTATTTTTCATTTGTATACACAGTCCTTTGACATATGCAACAGTTCTTTGTATCGATATTTTAGAAAATGCCGGATTATTTTCGAAAATAATGGAAATATTTTCAGTTCATCTGCCATTTATTATCAAATAGGTTGATGTATATTTCCTCAATAAGATTTAATTAATATATAAGCAAAAAAAAGTTGCTTTGACAGCTTTCTTAGGGCAAGTTGCCCAGTTTACAGAGACATACCTATATACATAAGTATATAACGAGAAATAAAAATGAACATAAGTTTAAAAAAAATTTAACAGGTATATTATCAGTGAATAATATGGACTGTATTATATTTCCAAAGAACTGAGTAATACCTCTGCTTCTACTAGTCTCTACTGTATTCTTTAATATTATTTATAATTTAATTTTGATATCCATAGATTCTAATTTTTTTTTTAATGGGTGATAATGGAATGGTAACCCCACCTGCGCTATCGGGATACGCTGGCGGACCACCAGTGAAGAATGATAGGTGAGGATGAAGCAGGTCAGTTGGCCCATCGTGACGAATTCAACAAGAATTGTTCATGATGGTTTCCAGGGGGAACCATGTGGAGGTCGACCTAATAGGGCATATTGCTAGCAATGGTGCTGTCAAACTCCATTGCTAACAGTCCCTTTCCCCCCATAGATTCTAATTGCTCAGTGAAGTCTGATTTAATAGTCTAAAAGGACTCAAATCTTACATAACTATAATTTATAAATATAACTACCAAATGTGATCAACTTTATTAGCAATTCTTCATCATTAATTAACAAAACCTTGATTTACACTAATTTGCTATATTACAGTACAAATTATCACTACATAGTCATGATAGATCCCTAATAGTTACTTGTTTATTAATTGAATTTATGAAATTTATATTTACTAAACTAAATATATAATTTTTTATACATATTTATGTGGTCCTGGCATAGAATAGGCCACCACTTCCTTTCCCGTGAGTGTCATAAGAGGTGACTAAGAGAGGGCAAGGGATAAGCAGAGGCCTCCCTCATAAAACATCTCTAAAGCCTAACTGTGATTGCTAATCTGCCTGGCAAGCGTGGCAACTATTGGCAAAGG